GCAAGGACTCACCAACTCTCAGCACGCAAAGATTTTTACCTTAATCCAGATGGCTTATTTCATATAGCCGGACTCATGGGTGATGCACATCTAGGCCAACAAAGCCTTTGTTGTTTTAGGATGAACTCAGCAGGAATCATGGGGTTTCCTCTGCAGCTGATACTGGTGATGTTTAAAATAACAAAAACCTGACATGACCTGGAATGAAACACTGATCATTATTCATGCCGGCATGTGCTGGTCATTTCCTTTCACACACAACTTTCAACAGATATAATCGTACTAAACTGTTTGTTTTCTTCACATTAACATAGATTATTGAACGAGTTCTACTAAAACCATTTATAATAAACTTGTGATCTGACAAAATCTTCCAATGTTTCCAATTGTCCATCTGCCACTTAGATGTTGAGAACTGATTTATTAAATCTGCAGAGACATGCGTAGCTCATTCTAGGTAGTGAGCCAGAGTGTGGTATTTGCAGAAGTTGTAAAATATGGCATTTGCTTGCAGCTGTAGTCATAGTCTAAACAGACCAAGTGTATCCCTGCACCCCATGGCTCAGTGTTGGTTTGGATACCATTCAATCGATTCTTGGAACTGTATTTCATATTCCTGAGATTGCAGGACGTCCGTCCCCTGGCACAGGCCCTATAAGGGTGCAGACTGGTGCCTAGCATGTGGACCTATTGGTGTCTTTGTGGTAAAACGTGTTTGTTCACAACCTGTTGTTGTAATGGCATCACCCTAGCAACTGCCACGATGACTTGATGATATCTGTTTATAGTTATCTTCTCCTCCCTCTCTGCTCCTCTCATTTTTCATCTCTCACTAAGGCAGGACCCACTTTAGCGTGGTGGTGGTGGTCTGGGTTTCTTTAAGCAGTCGGCGGCTGTCTATGTCTCTCTTCATCTGTATGCTGCAGTGCAACCTTACACCAGCAGCTGCTCTACACATACATTACAATACACAAATGTACAGGAAGCCTGTGGCTCCAAGAGATTCATTATTATTGTTTACAGACATTAGTTGTCACCACTTTTTGAAAACAACAGTTGTATACAATTGCCAGAAATAATTTCAGACAGAATTAAAACATTTCAATATTTTTTTGTATTCATTCATTATTGGGATAAAAGTGATTATGCTATGCTTAACTCCACTTTATGTATTTTGTTATAGGACCCACAGTACTGCATATTGAAAACTGCAATAAACAATGACAGCATGTTAAAATGTACTAATATATAAAAGTTATAATATTAATTAGGAATATTTAATAAAACCCCCAGAAATGATTTAAAAAACAATAAATAAAGCCTAAAAACTAAGGCTAAATGAAAGCTTCAAATTGAAAAAGAGATTCAAAAGATAGATTTACTTTTGAATACATAAAGATAACTTGTCATTCAAATATCCAGAGACAGTGAGTACACAATTGAAGGGGCATAACAGCAGAAATCAGATTCAAATGAATAGCTTCAGGGAGCCAATGCAGTGTGTTAAGCTGTTCCTGTTAAACCTTCTGCAGCATCAAGGTGCAGCAATTCAATTTCTTAGAAAAAAGAGTCAGCGTGTTGTTATTCACACCATCAGAGGCTTAAGATATCATCGCTAACACATGGAATAAACATGACCTTGTATAACCTTTCACAGCCATGCAAACATTTAGGCCATTAAATAAAGAGGCATATCTCCTGCTAGTGTTTGAAGCTTTTTTCATAGTGCATATCTACAGTGTAGCTGCTTTGAAATCCTTACAGATCAGGGTGAAATACATTGAAGCCTTCTTCTGGTGTGTGACAGTTGTTACAGCACATTTAATTAGTGTTGTCTGGGCTTGCTGGGGCTTGCAAGGATATGCAGAGGAAGGATGTGCATGTTTGTTCTCACATTTTTGGATGCATCTGCTGCACACACATTTGTTGTCTGAATCTGTGTATCATATGTATCTTAGTGTGTGTCTTTATGAGTGTGTGCCAGGAAATGGAGGGGAGATCTGACACACATGTGCTGGGCAGGACACACTGTGTGGGTTGAGGGTGTGGAGCCGGATTCTCCTCATGTCTCCATCTTTATCTATTTCCATATCACATTACTGTATGCCTGTGCACTGCTACCACTATAGAGTGTGTACTATAGCAACAGGTTTTATTTATAGGCAAAACACTGACCCCTGCTGGAGAAGGCGACATATTGTCAGATATTGGGGTGTACAGTATAAGGAAAAGAGTACATAATATAGTAGGCAACTCTAAAGTTTTCATGTTAACCAGAAATATTAAGTGATACTAAGGGAATATTGTGGGTCACATACTTTGCATGGTTCAATTTCGGGGAAATGCGGTGTAAGATTTAACTCAGATTGTAGGTTTTGGGACAGTAAAGCCTCATATTTTTTTTCAAACCTGTGTAATAGTGGACATCTGTGTTTATGGTTGGTAAACATGCCTAAATCAGCAGAAACTGCAAACTCTGATTCCAATGTAAGCAACACATTTGCCAGACATGCGATATTTCAGTCCCAAACACTTTATGATAAATCACACATGGGACAAAAACTATTAAGGGATTTTTTTCCCCTTACTTGACAGCTTGAATAATTTATTACATCTTAAATACAAATAATTTCCCATATGTCTCTACTTTCAATGCTCTCTCCAAACTCGTTTTTCATTTCAAGTATCTTCTTTTTGTTTGGTTGTCTCTTGGAGCTGCTCTAATTTTGCAAGAAGTATGTATTTGAAAAGACAGTTGTGAGCTTTGTGAGAATAGAGTCAACATTCACACACTGAAGAGGCCAGCAGCAATGGTTCATCACCATAGACTGCCTAAGGTCAACCACTCACCTGTTGCGAATGTCCTCAGACCAATAAATGGCCATTAGAGCTGTTTTCACTATAAAATGCTTTGAAATGGTCAAACTGCACACAACACCAGAAAACGGTGCATATCCAATATAATAAAGTTTTGTTTAGCTTCAGCTACCAGAAGTACTTATTTAGATTTAGCAAAAATATAGTGGATTTAAGGTTGGAATAACATTCCCATAATTTGTATGTAACTTAACAAAGTTCACCATGTCATTTTGACTTTTTGTTTCACATGGGATCCTGGCAGAAAGTCCTGTGTTTGTGTAATCCATCCTCTGCGTACACCTACCCTAAGTGGACTTCATCGTTCTTTATACAACTTCCCAAACGTCCTTCTTTGCTCCTGTCATAATTATGAAGGTCTCTTTGTGTACACATCAATAAGCAACCATGTAGAAAGCTTTTTTGTTACTGTATCAGACCCATTTTTATTGACACCTAGGATGCTGAGGGCCACTGATAACGGCTATTAAATGGACAGCTGGACAAGTCCAGTTTACATGTTTTGGTCAGAATTATTTCAAAAGCAAGTTTATTTACAAATTGCTTGTTTAATATCCTCTCTACCATTGGACAAATAAATACACAGAACCTGGCCCTGAATACAGATACACACACACACACACACACACACACACACACACACACACACACACACACACACAGTTACTGAAAATAAATGCAACATCTATCTAACTTTTTCTTCCCAACCACATGCACACATACACACACTGACCAACGCCCCTGTCCTCCCTCCCCCCGCCCCCCACACACAGAGCCTCATTCACATGGTCATTAAGTCATTAGGCTACTTATTTATTGATGTCTGCCTCCAGAGCGACTGAGCATGTCAGACGATCCACTGACCGCCTGTGTGAGCCTGTCCTGACCATATTAGTCCAAAGTATGATTCCTTCTACACTCTTTGATTTATTTACACTCTGGATAGTTGCTGTGAATTCACACATCATCTAATATAAGGGAAGTCTTCTTCTATGTTAATTAAATTAAGCATGTTGATATCTGTGCATATAAGAGGCTGATGTTGTCATAACTGTGAGTGAGGCCTTTAAAGGAATCTCAGTAATAGTTATCTGTGTGTTTCATCAGTCGTCCAGAGTCTGTTAGTCATGTGATTGAGCCTACACAGGAAGTAGATGTAGCATGCGTATAATTTGACCAGCTCAGTCAAAAATGAGAGCTTTCACAAAAAGGAGCCAGTCTGAGAGGACGACTGCAGAAGGGGAGGGAGGCATGGAGGGAAGGAGAAAAGGGGGGAGGGAAGACAGTGAGCCAGAGAGAGAGAGAGAGAGAGAGGGAGGGTGGGGGGTTGTCATCGCTCGCTCATTCCAAGCTGTGGAAGTTAGAAGGAGGAGAAGGGAAAATAAGTTGCTGCTTATGAAAGAGAGGAGAGATAGGAAGGGGGTTTGGATCAGTGAGCTTCTTAACAGTTTTTTTCTCTCCTCCCCTTCTCTCCCTTGCACGGCTCCTAATTTGGGATTTGTTTAAAAAGCAGGACTGCGCCTCAGGAAGACTTTTCCTTGCTGAGGGAAAGGGAACCCTGCTCCCTCTCTCTGGCATTATACACACCCGCACATACGCATTTGCTTTAAAAAAATGTCTGATTCCACTGTCAACGCTCACTTGGAAGGGATCATATCAGACTTTGAAGGTTAGTTCCTGTCTCTCTTGAGCTCTTGCTGCTGCACCACCGCTTTTTTCTTCTTCTTGTCATTCCCTGGAGCGAGGCACGCTTTAACCCTGCTATGAGGACACTATAGATGGTTTCCACATGTTTGATTGGAACCGAGCGGATATGGAAAAAAAGTGGAGAGCGTGAAGTGCTGTTGACATCTGCGGTGAGCTGTGTTGTTTTGAAAGGGAATTTGTGCTTGAAGTGTTGCCTTTAACGGCTCTGTAACTTTTGTTGAGATGCCTGAGTGTGTGTGGGTGTCATGTGTGTATCTGACATGTGTCAAAAAGGGAACTGTGCACGCTGAAGAAAGTATGCAACTGGTTTAGCCTAACCTAAAAAACAGGCTGCATGATAGAGAGGCCATACTGTACGCTGAACTCTCAGGAGACAGCAACTGACCATACAGCTGTGAGGGGAACACCTGGCTCACCTCCCCCCTCTGTTCCCTCTCCTCCTCCTTTTCATCTCGCTGCCCCTGGCCCACAGATTCCCCCTGTCATCCCTCTCCTCCCACTCTTCCTCCTCCTCATCCCCACGGCTGTGCTTCCCTCTTCCCTCTCTCAGCAGCTCGTCCATCCTCAGCCCTTGTCCTGGCTGCTGGTGGATGCGAGGAGGGTGGAGGGGTCGGGGTCTGACAGGCCGACACCTCTCCCCCAACCTGTCTGTCTATCTGTCTATCTGTCTCCTGTCTCTCACAAACACATAGCCATTAGGAACGCATCCACACTTGTCCAGAGCTGCTCCTCTGTCAACACCAGTTTGCTTGTGGTATGTATAGTGGATCTCTCTGCTTCCCTCTCCATGTCTCCCTGTCTTTATGTCTTCAAACCGCTGGCTTACACAGTGCAACAGAGCAGAAAGATAAGTGGCATTCAGTAAAGAGGCGCATCAGGGGCGAGGAAAGTGTGCGTTAACCATGTGGCTGGAAGTCATGCTTTTAGACTTCCTTCCATCATGTGTAACACCAACATAATGGGTCACTGTTGTGATTGTCAATGGTGTGTGTTACCCTGTGTTGGGCTGAGTGGGTGGTAATACCTTTGTGTCACCACCATGCACCATTACATATGGCCCTGTGTGGCTCAGTGAGGACAGCATGGCACAGATGCAGCAGGGCGTGAGTCCTGCAAGTTGATAAGAATCAGACGTTGGAAAGTTAAGATATCGCCTTACAGCAACAGACTAGTTTATGCTTTTCTCTCTTTCACTAGATAAGACATTTTAAAATATAATGAAATAAAACGATTGAAACAATCAATAAACCAAGGATATTCTGCAGTCAAGAAAATTATCCATTTAATTGACTATTAAAAGGAGAAACAAAAAAAAGTCTTACTCTTATAATAATAACAATATAAAGTTGAATAGGAGCAATAAAACACCCTCTCAGTCTAAAGGCATTACACACAGGGTGTTTTGCTGCTACAGCCTTACTTGGTCTGGTATGAGTACTAACTTAAGGTGGCTATTGTTAGCACACTTTTGACTGATATTGCTATAACGTACATTTCATTTTACTGAACAGTGACACTAGATTGGGGCATTTAGGTTTAGATAATAAATCATATTTTTGATAAAGGAATATTTAGCAAAAAAAAAGGCCATAACTAATTAAGTCGGGCATGTGTTTTGATTTATTTAGTGTGACTGCATCTTTGGAGCTTTCTTATTGATGCTCGGTAATCTTTTACATTATATAAGTATATTTGCTGACAAACCTTAATGTTGTCAACTGATTACATTTTGAAGAGTACTTTTAACATTGTGAAAGGTGTGCATAACATATTTTCACATCATTTGAGTTTTAGAGCTCTTGAAAAGCATCACAGGAAACATGGATCATTTTATTCATACACTAATTTGCACAGGTCATTGCTACAGTAACATATAGCCTGCAGTCAATTTGTGAATGAAAGGAGGATGTTTTGTTATGCAATAGAGAATGTCCAACTGATTCACTCTGTCACACTCTTAGCTGATGACGCCAGTGAGAGGCTCAAAGACAGAGGACAGGATTTTTCTCGCCCATGAGGCTGATGACCTCAGCTGTGACTTCAACATCACAGACCATTCAGATCGTTGACCGCAGTCAGTGGGCTTTTCCGCTCAGCAGAGTGAACAAACACACATTGATACAGTGTTTTTACAGCTCACTCTGAGAGGTCTGTCTTGTAAACAGCTTCTTTTGTTTCCATCAGGAAAAAAAGAAGACGTATTAGAGTCACAATTGGTAGTTTAACATCCCTGGTCACTGCTTCCTGTCGATCTCTGAGCAGCATGGTAAGGGCATTCACTGGTCCAGGGAGAGGAAATTCCACAGGGATAGATTTCTGTGGTTGGTGAAAATGCTGTGGCAGGCAGTGGAGGAGTGGATCTGAGCACAGGCGGGCCTCTTTTTACTGAGCTGCATGTGGCCTGGCACTCCCCAATCCATCACAAAAACATAAGCTTTGACAGTCAAGAGTAGGGCAAAGTGAACAAAATGTAAGCACCTATGATTTAAAATGTACAGGATATGTTGATTAGAATGTATTTAAGACCAATCCAAGTTCAGAGCTGCAAGTGTATTTTAAACCCATATTCATTTGGGGAAATTAGTGATTTATTATTTCTTAACAGGCCATATGAAACATTGGATCATTTTTAAACTAACACTAATTGCTCTTTAATCATACACAGAACAAGAGACGAGGGAAGACTCAAACGCCTTTCACATTGAAAACTGTGATTATGAGCTAACTGCCACTTAGCGGTGGTTTTGTATTTCTTTCAGGATTTCTGTTAAGTTGGTTGGTAGTACACTGAAACTGCTATTAAAGAGCTTTGGTATAAATATTTATTTTCTGCCAAAGGACACAAACATTGATCTTAACCATTACACTTTGAGGTCAGTCTTATGACAAAACGCCACGATGAATGCTCACAGATAGAGCTTGTGTGTTATGAGAGGAAGTGTCTCCTGACAGAAGCTGATGATAGCCGTCTCCAGGAGTCTCCGTCCTTATCTGCATTATCAGGACGCTCTATATGCACCACTGACGCATCCTGGTAATGACGCCAACAGCCTCGGAGCTTCTGGGAAGCCCCGAGGGTCAAACTGAGGTGCAGCGAACACAGCAGGTCTTTGTTAGGCTGCTGTTTTTCTCCCTGTTGGACACGTGGAGTGAAACCTTCCTCAATGCCAACCAAAAGGCAAGGCCCCAAAGTTATCATCAGACTCCATGCTACAGCTGAAACCAAATAGGATTTTTCTTTTGTATAAAGGTTTTTTTTTTCTCTGCAGGAAATTGAAAGTCTGTTTGACAGCTGCAATAGACATTTCAAGGAAGTAGAGTTGGGATTTAAGAATATTCTTAAGGCCAAATGCTCTTGTTCTAGAGATCCAAAGCACATTTTGACATGCAGAGCTTGCTACTGGTTTAAATTGCAGAACCTTTTTTCAGAGGGCGTGATAGCGTTAGCAGAGGGCTATAATGCCAAGTTTATTTCTGATTTGTTTACACACGTGGCACTGGCTATCATAGTCACAGCAAATGTGGTCCGGTACTACAAAAACACTTTTTTTACAGAATTGCAACTGGTGTTTCCCTTAACTGTGCAGCCAAACATTTCACAATGAAAGCCATCTCGGGTTTTGTCTGTAAAATGCTTTCTATGTGGAACAGCAGCAGGAGGGAATGTTGCATGCATAAGCAGCAATTTAACAGAGCTGTCATTGTGGGCAGGTGAACAGTAAACTGTGAGGCCTGATGTGAAATAAACTTAATAGCTAAATCTGCTAGTAACAATAAAAACTCTACCATAAAGAAAAGTAATTACAAAATAACAAATACATGGAAAGGCTATTACTAAATATATAGGATGAATAGAATCAAAACAGGTTTGATTTTGTGAGAATCTTAGGAGCAATATGCCAGTATTTTAAGAATTCGTTGTACGAAGGCGGCTTCTGGCAGTAGTAGCGTAAGTTTAGTTGGGGTAATGCTTATTCTGTAGCTGTAGTTTTCAGTGCTACATCTTGTTGACCCATCAGCTCATCTACTGTCATGCTCAGAGAGGCGTGGAGAATGTCCATGTGGTACTCATGCAGTAATGCTACACTGGAGAACGGAGTAGCATCATCATGTGATTATCTGGAAGTTTAATCATGTTTCATTTTGTGTTAGTTGAAAAACATCATGCTTGGCTACAATGTCTTCCTTATTTGGCAGTTCAGTCTGCTAGCAAGTTTACATTATATCACTGGGGATGTCCAAGAGGAATGGGGATTCAACTCCATGTTAGATGAGAGGTAGGGAGAGCTGAGAAGAGAGAGCCAATTAAAGAGAAAGGACTTATGCTGAATTTTGGTTCACATTGGTGCTAACAAGTATATTTTTGGCTTGGTTAAAAGGGCTGTGATCAGTGCTATCACCTCAGAGAAGCAACACCTTAAAGCAGCTTGGAGACATCAAATAGTTGTATTCAATCTTCACACACACACACACACACACACACACACACACACACACACAGCTAAAAGACCGATATTGTGGCTTAAAAATGATCATAATAAAGATATTATGGCAGTAACATGAATCTTCTTTTAAAATAATGTAATATTTGACTCCTAAAGAAATGTTTGCAAAATGGAAATGTTTAAGAATTTTTGTTCTTTTTTTATAACATCACCTCATCATGTTTTTCATTTTTGTAAAGCACTTTGAATTGTCTTGTGTTGAAAGGTGCTATATAATTAAACTTGCCTTACCAGTACTAGTTAATTGGTACACCCCTAGATCACATGAATACACATAGAAACAGAGATATTAAAGTGTGACCTCCCTGTGATACAAATCCCAGGATGCAGTGCGCTATCACGTTAACAGAGGCAGAGAGTTTGGCTCCGACCAGAGCTGACACGGCTGTGTTTGCGTTACTCTACAGCTGTGTTTAAACACATACAGAAAGAGAGAGGGAAACATAACTGATAAGGCCTCTGTCTCCAGTGTGTCTGTGGGGACTTCACTGTGTCGGATTGTCTGTCACCACAGCGCAGGCACACACCACCACACAGTTAGCACAATCCCAGGCAAAGAGGTCATTATCTCAAGATCACATTAAACACAGTTTGAAGTGGTCTGTGGCACTTTGAATATGCCTTTGCACATTATATAGACTTTCACTGCTCAAGTTATTTCCGTTAAAGTGATTTCTGCCCTTATTTTGTCTACTTAAAGAAGAACAGAGTACACGGCTCGAGGCAAGTTTTCTTTAATCAAATGTTTTCATGTTAGCAGCTAACAGAGTTTATTGAGAGAGACATATGGTGGTGATGGAGATGCATACTATAACCACATACAATCAGACTTTTATATCAAAGTCACAATGAACTTTCTTTCTATTTGTTCCCTTGTATATTCAGTCGTGTAATAAAGAAGTGTCAAAATTGCCACATTCAGTTAACACACAGGAATGTATATTTATGGTATTCTGTTTTCTGACTTACTGGCAAATCAACAACACACATTTCTCGTGTGTCTAACAAACAAATGGCACATTTGCAATACATCTGATTGAATTATAAGCATGCTGTAAGAGTGTGTATTTAAGAGTGGGAAAGAGTATTGCTGTGGGTTAACATTAAATATTGTGAGTGATACACAGTGAGCTTATTAAAGGTTGGTTGTCATTGCTGAATAACATTGCTGACTTTAACATGAACTTGTCTGCTGTCCTTTCTGCTGAAGATGAGTACATTTTACAATTGGAAAGTTTAATCTAACTCTCTGACACAGAGTTAACCCAGTGTTTCACATTTGCATCCCGTGGAACGTGTGAACCACCATGAGCTTCCTGCTTCTCTGCAGACCCTGTGATATCAGACACAAAAGCCTGCTGAAACACATGAAGGATGGAAAACATTGAGTTCAAGGAAGAGGGTCTTCCCTCATACTGGTGCCTGGCCAGTCAGACTCACTGTAGGCCAGAAGCCTGCACAGGATTTTATGTTTATCTGGGACAGAGGCCATGTTTCACGACTCCATATATCTACTCTGAGCCAAGAAGAGCCTGGTGGTGTCCGCCTCACAACTGACATGGAGCCTCCCTTGGCTAGAAAAAAAATAATTTTACCAAACAACTT